CTCAGAATGTTTGCTCCATTTAAAATACGGAATGATAAAGTGATTTGTTTTCTTTTTACCATCGATTTATGGTTTATTACTTATTTTTCGAATGGCGATAGAGTAACATCTTAAAGTGGCATAGTATCAAGACGTATCCGGCTAACTTTAGGTCTGGATCGATACTCATATGATTGTAAATGTAGATTGATTGGCTCTTACTCTCCTTTCTTTTCTCGGGACTGCATTGGCTCTATTATGTCGCTATTCTGTCTGATTTAGGGACTTCAATGCAATTTAGGTATATGCTGATTTAACATACGAGGGGTGATTCTATACTAATAATAAGATAGGCGTCAGTATTTATGGTTGGAACATATTTTCGATCGAAGATTTTCCCGAGTACTCATTTAAATGAAACTAAAATTTTCGGATTTACTACGCGATTTTTTATTTTGACTATAAACTAAATACTCGTAATACAATAAAAAATCTTGTTGTAAATCCGAAAATATTAGTTTCATTTAAACATATTTTTATAACAGACTTTTAACAAGCCTACATTAAATACATGTTCTTGTAATCACAATAAAATCCGATTGATCCAAAAAAAAAACTTCACCGAATCTTTTCATCATCAGTCATCACTTCGATACCGTGTATTTCTTCACTCAGAGCATTTTTTATGCTATGATAGATATAAAAATAGATAAGCTACTTCTGACTAGCAGAGACAAAATGTTCAAGCAATTTGATCATCGCCGTTCAATAAGTATTCAAGCAATTTCAATTTTTTCATGAGTGTTACGTTTGTTAGGGAAGTATCAAAATTGACCTTTACTTGAACTCAGTTTTAAAATGGCGGTTGAGACTGGATTTGAATTTAAAGCTTTTTAATATCTTTTTTGAAGTTTTTCTTATTTTTAATAGGCAAAAATTTTATTCGTATAAAAATTCTTATTTAATATGCTTTTTGAAAATATCTGACCGCCATTCATGTACGACCTCACTCTCGCTTTTTTTGTTTTATATTAAGCAATTAATTGAAGTTACAATAAATTATATTATTATATTATATTTTATGGAATAAAATATGCTTTCACATATTTGTGCTAATAAATTTGTGCTAATAAATGCTTGTTATCTTCATGTTTTAGATATTTAAACTATTTATATAGAATTCATTATATAGAATTTATCTTAGTTAAGTATTAATTTATCTTAGTTGCTCCGTCGATTCGCAATATTTTACTTATCATTTATTAAGAACGTAACGACGCTTTTAGGTCAAATGTTTCTGATATTAAGTTATGATAATGGATCACAAACGATATTTCAATTCAAGATAATTTTGCTGTTGTTTCTATTAGGTTTAATTTTTCTTTTGATATCATATCACGTTAATATTTTTTGTTAAACATCGTTTGAATTCAAACCGTATTAAAAGTTCTTATTTGTTCTTTTTTGCTTAGTAATACAAGTTTATAAAACCTCCATATATCTTTAGTAATACCGAACACCTACCCCTAGACTCCAATTTGCATAGTAAATATTAACGCAAGGTTTAGCGAAGCTTAATAGCAGCATTTGAACTAATCTCCATGACAACATGGCGACTATTGTCTTTTTATGACCTGAATGAATTAATTTTTATCCTTTCTCAAAGGCTATCATTAAGTAAAGTGCTTAGATCATGTTTTGTTTGGATTATCTTTCTCTAATTATTTTTTATTTCTAACAGATTTTGTTCTTTACTTCACCCGCAGAACACTATATTTTTGTGTATTTTAAAATTTTTCGCTATTAATACAACTTACAAGGCAAATATGTATATGTGTATGTTTGCTTAGCTCGCTAATTGATTTCGAAGGTATAAATACAAATTATTGCATGCAATTGGTTCTATTAAAACGGAAAGCAAGTAATACGGTCAGCTGATGGCACCGCATGCAAACAATGCAATTAAAAGTGTACAGAAAGTTCCACACGCGCTCAGCCCTATTTGTATTGTGGTCTCAGTGCCCCCATAAAACTGCTTTTTGTTCACTTAATTCTACCTTTTTTAATATCGTCATTTTTTTTGGCATGATATTAAACGTTTCGAATATGAAATATTGCATTTCAGATGTGTTGTGATGTGTTTGAATTTCTTACTTAATACGGATTTACGTTTTTAAACTAGTTGTTACCCGCGTCTTCGGTCAAGTGGTTAATATATATTTAAAGAGATGTAATGAGGAAAAGTACCCCATATATTTTTGTATTACATTAGTTACTTACATAAAAACCTTTAAAGCAATCTGTTTCGTAGTGTTTGTAGGTACAAAAAACATATATTCTTTTGATATTAGTACGTGTATTAGTTGGTAATATTATCATACGTTTAATAAATTATGTTTAGTTTTGATACAATTAAGTAATGTAATTCTTTTATTAAAATAGTCCATTGTTTTTTACGAATTTGTGTATGAGTGTTATTAAAATACCAATGTTATTATCTATTTATATATTACTTTAATTCTTTAATATGCTTAATTTGTTTAAGAAAAATAAAACTCGCCAGTTAATAAACAGAGAAGATTCCTGTCATTTAAGGATAAGGTTTATTATAAGGCTTTTCATTTGTTTTTTTAAAACTCAGTTTTCTTGCTTAAAATATCTAACATAAAGTACAAAACATTCGTTTTTATAGAAATATGAATACTAAATGAATAAAATGGAATAAAAAACTAAAAGCAGTGACATTTAGATATACAAAAAACATGAGGTCGCATTACCTACTTCGTATTCTGTTTGACTTTTATATAATTGTTCCTGAGACCTTGTTATGTTTGAAGAAACAAATACTGAAGATAAAAAATTCATGTAACAAAACATAAATAGATCAACAATAATAAAAAAGTGCATTACTCTTATTATTATAAAACGTTCAATCGCAGCAATTTATTTCTTAAACCATTATACATATAATACAAAGGTTCACTATATTTATTAAGGGCGAACTCGTCTCATTTATATTTAAGTATATTTTCCGCCGTAAGTAGGACGCTTCGTGATTCTTCACCAAGTTTCAAGTCTGCCTTCGTTGTAAAAATGTGTCAAGTATTCTCGTTTTATTGTGAAAAGCATCAGCCCTAGACGTTGCTTTGCCACAAATCAAGAAATACGTATGAAACGTGAAACCAAAAGCCTTTGTACTGACACATTAACTCTTTGCATTATCTTTCTTTTGGCAGAGAATGTGGCTATCTTTTTGTTTTGCTATCTTTTTGTATTTTAGTTTCTTAACTTAATAACGCTGTGTTCTTTGATTGTATTGTTTAGTTTATTTTATAATTGTATGATATATGTCATTTCTATTTCATGATAAATAACTTTCTCCTTGAGCTTCGTATTTCGTAATGGTAGCAGTTTTAGTGATCCCATGGGGTCACGCTGTAAAGTAAGTTCAGAAACTCCTTTTAATATAACGTATCAAATATAATGATTCGAGATACTAACCACTTTATTATAATTTCAATCTTAAATCATCCAAAATTTCTTTTATGAGAATAGAAAATAATTCTTTGTGCACACGATTATTTCCTCTAGATAGCACTTGAGGCGTATGTCAAGAGTTTTTTGATATTTGAAGCTCTGATATTTCGTTCTTCGTTGACCACTTATGACAACTGGTTTTATTATTTCTGTAATTGGTGTACCAGGATACGTAGATAATATCTAAGTAGGATCGGTTTGAAAAAAATATGCTGTTAAAATCTCATTGGAATTTTCACATATTTTTTTAAAGTATATAGTTTCAATTATCACTTCTAAGGTATACACCAAGTCTTTTAATATCCGTATATGAACTTCTGATATCTCTCATTGAAATGTATTTAAGGGAGTATAAAATTTCTCCTCAAACCATATTCGGGCTCATCTTATATTGGATGTAATTGGATCATTATACATCCTAAATGTGAGAATATGCTTTCATTTATATTCGAGAAACTTACACGTGGAAAGTTATTAATTTTAATTACTTTCGTATCTAATACACCGAGTTAAGAATTGCGAAGTTAATTTTTATTAAATATCTTTATTAAATTATATTAAAGTTTCTATTAAGCTCACCTTCAGTGAGAAACTTTTTATCGCTCTATTAATGTACTAACTTGGTATAATTATTGGGAAAATTTTAATTAATGGAACTTAAAATGATATGCTTTTGAAAAATGTACGATATTTTCATAGAAAAGATGATTTATATGTTAAAATAGGCACGTACCAGGAACGCACCAAACAAATATTTGTTATGTTTGATGTTCGACAGAGGAAGTTAATTCCATACATTGTAAATGTACAGAGGGCTTCCGATTTCATTCACTATAAATGTTTATTTTATTGATTTTCACACGGCCAGACAACAATGCATCTCCTCATATAAAGGAACAAAATTACTTTGACACAGTTCTAAATTCCACGAATAAAATTATCCGGGAACAACTTTGCCGTATTAATAATAATGAAAACGCTACCGAAGGACCCCCAGTGACGAACAAAAAGTTTTTATTTCGATAAAGTTGCAGTTCTTTTACGTGCCGCAGGGAGTTAGAACTTTGTTTTACTAAATTATTATTTTTTATGCTTACGCTATTGGTTTCGTTGCGCATTTATTAATTTTGATACGACTGATAAGTCTTGCGATGCGTGTAATTAAAGAACATACAAAATAACAAAAGCATATCGTATTGTTGGTACTTGTCATGGACTACAAAATGAATTTTCGTTAGTGTATTTTAAATTAAAAGTTTCTTATATTGTAATAGATTAAAGTTTTGTTTAACTCGATACCCAGTTTTAAACGTCCGCGATGAGAAATGTAGCGGTATAGAGCGGTTTAGAAGTTCAAAGTTAGTTACGTACTTTATATAAAACTTTTTTATTCTATAAATAAAAAAGCTATTTGATGCCGTAATTACGTGATCAACCTCAATTGATGTTGAGAGTCTGTTTATGTTTTTTTCGAAGGGGAACTAATGGGAGCTTTGCCGACACTACGTCCCCGTCATCAAAGTAATCACAGGCTCGCAGCGACTTCACGAGACGTCGCTAATAATTTTTTAAACAACCCGAAAAATAAACAAAAACCCTTACTATTAATTGCTAAGTTTATTATATTATGCAGTTTTTTTTCCTCGCAGGGTCGAAAACCGAGGGTTGGGGTGAGGAGGGCTGCGACACGTGCGTCCGCACTCCGCAGCTCGACGCATGCGAGACTGCGGGGCGCCGGCAGCGCAGGCGCGCCCCTCGACCGGTTCAGTCTGCCGCTGGCCACCACGCAGCCAGCACGCCACCACCACGCGAGTGATCCATGCGAGTGATGACGAGTGACTAGTGCCATGATCGTGATCCGCTGTGCCCTCTTCGCGGCTATCCTCGCCGCCGCCGCGGCCGCCTGGCAGGAGAACGTCCGCCCCAAAGTCTTCGCTCAACTAGGTTCGTACTAAGTCAAACAACTATTGCTAACGAGACATGTCAAGTGCTCGGTAATGAGTTTAAGTTTACAGTAATGCTCGGTAAGCTCTTGTTTACCTTGGTTTGTTTGATGACATCAACGCGACGCGTCCATAACTCACACCGATTGTTTATTTTGTTTACGGTCTGTTATTAAGTATCTGTACGGTCTTACGAACTGTCAATTGTAGTTGTATGTACTGTTGAACAATATTATTCGTTACTCCGATCATAATAAACAAGTTACGTATTTTTCCTATTAGAATCAAATAAAACACGGTGTCACATTAAAAAGTTTTGAAACAAACTTTTGATATAAACATAAACAATAATTCCCAGCGGAACTTAATGATAAAGTGTAAATAAGAAGTGTATTGATTTCAAAGCAGTATAAATAGGAACGCCGAATTGCTCCTCGTGGCAGTCAACTTTTTGTAGTCACGTGATAGTATCCTGTCGGTATAAAGGCGGAGTGCACAACTATAGAGCCATTGTTTTATTGTGCAGCCTGCAATGCGGGGGACAGCCACGTGACTCTCATTAGTGCAGTACAAAGCGAAGCAGTTTGTTCTGCGTTTTGCAATGTTACGCCCGGATTAGCGATGCGATGTTTAACGTACTGGATGAAACTTTGACTAACTTCTGTATTATGAATACATTTGTATTATTCAGCACCAGTGGCGTAGAAAAGTTCGGTTTTGGATTGGCATATTTTGAATTGGTCTATAGCTGGGTATAAATATTGTTTTAGGGCGTATCATAATATCCTTTTGAAGTACGAGACGGTAATTTGAATAATACTGAATTTAGGCTTACAACTTTCACTTAAGGTGTTATTTTTATCATGGCAAAAATCTTTATTATATTGCGACTTTTTATTATATTACTGAATCTATTAAAAGCAATCAAAGTTGCCATTGAATATGGGGAAGTTAAAATTGGCCTAGTCTAGACAGAGTCGGACGCGTATCCGTCCATTGTGTCAGTTATGATTTCGATTCATATATGAAATATTAATGATAATATTTATATGCATCGTTTGCTTATTCTTATTAAGAAGCCGTTAGTCTCTATAAAAGTAATACATTGACAGTTACAAGAGTACCTATTTTAAAATTTCCACGGGCTATCAATACAAGATTTTTTTCTAACTTTAGATCAATGGAAGATGATGCTTATTAAAGCCTTTCATACTACTGCTATATCGTCAACATCAAACCCGTCATTAAATCACAATATAAGTCACAATTACGATAGATTAACTAAGTAAATTAATTGCAATTGGAAGTCAATCAGTTGAAGTAAGCGGAGATGAGGAATTGAGTTAATTACACCGTCATAGTTTCTGTTTGATGCCCGGACACTAGCTGGGCTCGTGTCAACACCTCTCTGGTAATGTGATCCAGCAATCCAAACTGGAGGGTTGAAGCTGACCGCATAATGTGGTTTAATATAGCCACGATCAAAGGTCTGTATGGAAATCAGAGATATAAAGCTTGCCTTTATTACATCGTTATTTCCATACATATTTGCTTTAATATCAACATTTCGAGATGTTTCGGTAAACTTGTTTTGAATACGTTTATCTTATTTATTTGCTTGACGTTTCACCCCGACAAGTATAACTTTTTTTTTTGCGTACTTATTTTTTTATAATGTGTTCATTATTAGTAAAAGTATAATTTTTATTTGACGCTAACTTCTTAATTTTATTTTAATATTGCCTTTGAAATAAATAATGATCTTATCTATCGCATAATGTAAGAAATATTGAAAAGATTCCCTAACAAAATGTAGCAGGACTATCAATTTGGCTGTCTACTTAAATAAAGCTGCTATAAAAACTAACATTATAATTTTGTTATTGATATAAACATAATGCAATTAATGAAAGTGTCACTGTTATCAAGTTTTATAAGAAACAATTTACTATGATAAGTAGTAATAATATTACTTATGGTTTAGGAGATAGCGGTTGTAATCTAACTAACCTAATTTGCGGCTAATGTTACTGCACTTCGCATCCGACGAAAACTGATACAGTTATTATTCTCAAAGCATATCTCAGGGGGATTGGATGCATTTATGTAAACTGTGGACATAATGGAAATAGAGCATCTCTAGATAACACAATAATTTATTATGACGTAGGAGTAATGTAAATTATCGAATATTGTATTTCCCTAGAAAGTGGTTATTTTATCATGGACGTAAAGAACACTTATTGTTGTTTGGACCGGTTCTCGCATCTGTGGGTAGATGAGCTAAGTAAGTTCGAACGGTTACTTTGCAAGAATTCTAAGCTAGTAAATCTGAGATTGTTAAAATTTGAGTGATGTTGTTTAATAACTCTAATATGAATGATATCAAAGTGATGTTAAACATAAAATTTATAGTCCAAGGTTTTTAGAGTGTTTATGTTCTCTAACAAAGTTTATGAGCTTTTATAACAGATGCCGGCTGAACCTCAATCTAAACGACTTTATGATGTAGCATTATGGTTTCCTACACCCTCCATTGTACATTAACTGTTAGAATTATAGAACATTCAAGAGTGTCATAAAATATCCGTTCGCTTACCTGAAGAAGAAATAAATTACTTAACAGGATAATGCTTTTATATCCCAGAATGTTTTGTACGTGTCGCGTTTTGCCTTATGGGTATTTATTGGGTCATTCGTCAGGAACCAATACTCTTGGGCACAGTTATGTGGTTGGGGTGCATAATACCGCTGTGACGCTTGTTGTTTATGATTGGCCTCTCCCAAACAATTTATTAAGTTTTCGTTACGGCTGACATCGAATGCAGTATTTTTAAAATTAATTATATTTTATATTCAACGTCTTAAGGTAAGAATAGTTTAGGACATCGTAACTATAAATCCAAAAATCAAATCGACTTCTTGTAAGTGCACTCGATACCGTTATTGGAGTATTCAAAGTTGTTATTAACTCAAAACACGCTTACCCATAGTGGTTAATGGAAGAAGGGCAAAAGTTCAAACATTATACAATCACTGTTAAATGATGTAAATTAACTGGCAATACAATATAAGTTTTATTGCGTGTGTTATAGGGTAAAAAATGAATTGTTATCTTTAATGCGGCTGATATGCTAGATGTAAGCCTTAAGTGGGTGTATTAAGAAGGAACACTCGCTTGTGAATGACGTTATTCTTCGATCAGGAGCATGTCACGCACGTGCGTGCGGCATTCACTGTTGGTGGGGTGAAGGGGGCCATCAGAATGGCGCCGCCTTGCGGGAGTGAGACAAATTTATAACGATGTTCTTCTTCACTCAGTGTGGGATCTAATCCATCTTTCGTGGTATTTGGTGTAGCGTTTCCTGACCAAATTAATATCACTGTAGAATCGGAATGTTCTACTGCAATACGCAATACTTTCTGTTCTAATGTATTGAATACGAGTTGCATTTTGTAAACAAAATCTTCTATTTGTAATTCTTACCTTAATGAATTTTATTTACTTCTCGTCGAGTTTCATAATATTATAACATTTTATTAAGAAAAGGTACTAACACATATGTCGATTTTTGAATACGCTGCTATACATTTAGAGTACAATAGCAGATAACAGTTGATTCGTTTAAATTAAAAAATCAGGTAGACTTTGAATAAGGTAGATGCAGTAGACTGTTTTTATCGAATCTTTGTTAAAGGAGAAAGTAAATATTGGTTCAGTTAATGAAAATATTTGATGAAAGTCTCAACGGCAATGCAAAGCAAGACTTTTTTTTGAGATGTCTGTGCGAGTGTGTCTAGCCCATTGTGATGCAGTTTTTAAATCCGGATTAAAAGGAAGCTCATAATAAGCCCGAAGCGGGGTTGTAACGTTGGGACATCGTTTGTAGCAACTTTGCTATAACGTTTTTCTTTTGTGTGGAATGAAAACATGAATGAATTGCACAATTTGAAATGGTTATCCTTTTTTTTTGAGTCGAAATTATTGTTTACTCAGCTTAACTGTTTCTATTTTGCATATTCTGAGAACATTTTATAACTTAAAAATATGAAATGTTAGCTTCCTATTCGAGCAATTTCGTTTTCGGTGTTGCGATGCAATAAACGCTGTGCTGTTTATTATTTTGTTACCTTTATATTTTTCAAAGCTGAACTTTTATTGCTTTAACCTTATTATAAGTGACGGTATATATTATTTTGTTCTTTATTGCCATCAAATTGATATTTTGTGCTATATAATTAACGCGACTATGGAATTTGCATTGCATATTTATCATCACCCCTTACATGCAAGTAACCTACTTGGCAACTACAAAACACTACTTATTTGAAATGCACCGATGAATAGGTGGCAGTCAATGGGTCGTAAGAAATGGGCCAGTCAGCACACTATGCAAGTGAAATGGGATTTAAGACCAGTCTAATGCGACCCTCACACGATAGGGCTGTTAACAGGTAACAGATGACGTAAGAATTGCAACCATATAAACAATTTCTTTAGTATTATTGCACTCAGAACTTTGTCATTTACATCGTTTTATTTACTTAAACTTTTTTAATTTAAAAACTTCATGAATTTTAAGATTGAAGACTTAAATTCAGTTCTGTTTAAGTTTCGTGTAGTTTCTGTTACTAAGCTTTTATTTTAAGGATTATATTTATTCCTTTAATTAAAATGTACATACGTATTAATGAAATAACGTTTTCGAAAGTATTATGTAACGTTCTTAATTGGTACTATTTAGGGCGAAAGCACAGCAGATGTATTTTTACATACAAATCAATGTCTCGCTCTGCTGGGGTATTTGTGCCCAGCGATTGGTTCATTAATAAGGCAGGTGGTCGTACAATATACTTCGCAACAATGCAATCCTGAGGGTGGCTTCGGGCTTTCAATTGAAAAGCATTTCTCTTTAAATTAATATTTATTTATGGTTCTGTTTATGTTAACTAAAATGTGATAAAAGTTATCAGAACAGATGTTTCAAATTGATGTAAATTGTATGGGTCTTTGTTTAACATCATTAACGAAACAGCTGAAACCAATGTAGATTCTAATTCTAAACGTTATTAGACTTCTTAATATTCTCTTTGAAAATATACCTAACAAAATTATGTATGCAGTTAGTAATTCACTGACCTGCTATTCTTCTATTCATTACTGTTGTTGGTTGCATTATAATGACGTCATATTTTCTTTGTAGTTATGATAAACATCAATTCTCTCTAGAGTGCTCCATTGAGACATATTTGTGTATGTTGCCACATCCTCCGACCATCTGGTTTCGTATACGTAAACATTTCTATTGGAAGCAATTTAACATTCTATCACATTTTCGCTAACAACATGACTAATAAAGATAGTTAACGTTATAACGAATGTAAGAGATTGTATTTAGTGCCCTAAAAATAAACACTCCGTCCCTTTCTACTCTTGAACTTGACGCGAGTTCGATGACCTGTGCGTCCGATACTAAATTATATTTAGTTTCAAGTGAAGTAACATCTGCATATGATATTGTTATTTATTTTCAGTGAAAACTTAAACTATACATAAATGAGAAAGTTCTCCACTGCTTCATAAATATTATTATTCGCTCTTTATCATAAGAGTATAATAAAATTAATGATCATTTTATATATACATATAATAAAATATATTTCTTATACATAAATGTTGAATTTACGATAATCGTTGATGTCAAAGCCAATCTTACATTTGTCGTTCCAAATAATAAATTACAACGCTTTGTACTTCATGCCTAATGACTGAAAGAAGATTACTCGAAAACATTTTTGTAATAAAATTGCCATTTGCTTAATACATAATAATATATTATGTATATATTGACATCCTTATCACTTGTATGGTACAGTAGTTAGTGTATATAAGCTATAAATCTTTTAAATTTAGTACGTCATATATTTCCTTCCCATATAGAGTTCCTGACGAACTGGTTTTCTTGACTTTTATGTCTATTTCTCGTATGCTCATCGATTAATTTCATGGAAATAAATTTCTATGTCACAGTTTCTCTAAAGATTATAGTTATTATAAAATATTACAAAATAAGGAATTATATTGCATATATGTACATATTCCTCATCATTAATATTTAGATATAAATGCTTTGAGAGATTAAATACTCCTGGTTAAAGTATGTTAAAAGAATCATTGCTTAAAGAAACCGACGACCTATTATTTTGATTATAAGCCTTTGTGCTAAAGAGGTTAATTTTCGTAGCTGGAGTATTGCAAGTCTATCGGATATTGATTTTTCTATATTTAGCCAGGCGTCTGCGGCGAATGTGACCAAAATAATTAAACTGGTCCGTAATCGTTTAATTATTTTAAGTTGTTAGATCGCAGATGTATTTTTGTTCTTCTAACTGACGTTTAACAAAAAGGAACATTTTATATATTCTTTTCAATCTTAACAGATACTATATTCTTGTTTGTTATTGAAAATCACTATCGTAATAGGAGTTTCTTATAAAATTCAACAATTGAGTCAAACATGGTTTATATAAGAGGTCTTTCGGAGAGAGAGATTTATATCTTTCGAAGAATCTTTTGTTTTGTGATATACGTCAATATGTTTTGGTGTTTTGATCTGGTTTTAAATAATGTTTTAGTACCGTCTCAGACAAAACAAATTCATATCGATCACATTTCATTGTCATTCCGAAGTCTAATGTAGGCCATTCTTGAAGGACGATAGAAGTGTACATATATTCGCCCGTATACACACATGTATATAATATATGTAACGACTAAAATTTGGAATAAAATAAGAAGGTATTAGTTATTACCTTCGTAGCGTAGGCAGAGTAGGAATGTTTAACAGATCAAATCCCGTTTTCCTTAATTAATCCCATAGTTACTTTTCAAGAAATACCAAGAAGCTGATCTTAATCTTATATTTTTCTATATAAAAATAATATTATTGAGAATTCTTTTTATAAGTTATATACAATTTGATCGCTCCGCTTCAACTAAGTCTCAAGAGTGTGAGGACTGAATAAGTCAATAATATTAAAATATAATAACGTTATGGAATAATTGAAACCAGGGATCGTATAAAGTATGAAGATATCACAAAGTATATTTCCAAGCGTAATTCCGAATTCATATATAATGCTTTACAAAATTCACTATAAATTCATACCTATTTCTTATTATGTTCGAATTTGAAAAAAATTAAGAATATTTTTTAAGTTTGTTATTCATCTTACGGAGATTTTTTTATGATAATATTAATTACATACTATAAGGCCTCCTTGGTTCAATAGCGTAAGGGGATTATTTATGTGTTATACAAGAAAATAATATTGTTACAACAAATTAAATTACTTGAATATTGAAAAAATATGAAAATATGTTTATTATATGAAAATCGGTGCGTAATATTAAATCCTAATATATTACTATTATTTCAAAACACAAGAGAACAAAAAACAAGAAGACGTATGGAAGTTAAAAGCATTTTTCCCTTTTGTTAGTAAGAAAATATATCAAGCATTAAAATTATTACAATTATGCTTATTCCAATAACTTTTTGAAAATAAACCTCTAAGTCTCTCTATTTTTTTGGACGTAATAACTTGGATCAAAATAGCAAACCGTTTAAAAAAAATAATAGGCCATTATTATTTTTAACTTAAAAAATAAATAAATATTGATTCTTATTAATGGTTAATCTGATTGGTTTGCAAAAAACAGTTTGGAGATAGAAATGAAAATTCAAGTCATCTTTACATAAAACTATTGGGAGGATTTATATTTTTTAGCTTTTGAACTTTGCATTAAAATCTAATTAATTTTTACTTCATTGACATGGGATTTGTCGTTTCATATGGATAATTATTAATTTTATTTAATATAGTACATGGTATATCTCCTAGCTCTAGCTTTGACTAATTCTCAACGTCAGTTTTGTTATTCGATATTGATACGTATTTTTGTTAACATAAGACTTACTTTGTCATGTATCTTTTTAAAAATAATCTTCTTCAACAAACACCCACATAACTTTGTTGAATGATATGATGTTTTCCGGGAAACATTTCAATAAAGTATCAATATAACAAATGTATATGTTGAAGTAATAAATTAATAAAATAAAACATAGACAACCCTGTTGAAATTAATTTAAATTGTTATCTTTAGATATCTTAAACAAAAAAACAATTTTAATTCATCCGTTTGGGTTGTACGATGTCACAGACAGATAAACAAGTCAAATTATTAACGCTCTTTTGGTCGTGGGGGGTTTATAGAAATGGACAGGCTTACTTATGCATGTACCAAAGACTAATCTGCCGTATAATTCATACAAAAATGTAAACATTGTACTAATTATAAAGTTCTTTAACCACTAATTATAATCTTATTTAAATAATTTTGTATATTATTAAGGAATTTTTAACTAATTTATTATAACGCCTCCTTTACTATTTTTAAGGGCACTATAACGAGCTTTTTACGAGTAATTCGATGTCGTATTTAATAATATATCACGTCCAAATTGATTCTCCGATTTTTCAAACGTCAGTGATATTTTAATTAAATAATGCAATATGATAAATGTGTATATTTCTAATAGTTTGTCTATTTCATTAAAAAATTCTGACGATTTTCATAATCATCTAGATCTGAGTTAATAACAGGCGATTTATTTTTAAAATTTTCATCGTGAAATATATTAAAAACAAATTATTTGTTAAACAATAAGCTTAAATAAGATAATAATTATATATTTAACATAATTTTAAAACAATCGGATAAAATTTATATCAAGTTCGAAATGAATATAGCTATGCGTATCTGTAAACCATTAAATACGCAACTGACAAACCAGGAATATAGTTCATTGGGAATAACTTTGAGAATGATTTCCTCTTACAAACTCGACTTACGCTTACTTACTTCCTTAGTGACATTGGATTAGTTCGGAGATCATAAGTTTTGGGGGTATCTCGGTGAGATTAGTATCATTAGTCTGTGTTGTATAATATTATAATCTTCTTATAACATTTAATAAATTCTATACATAAGTATAACATTTTATTCGACTTTTAATACACTAGATTGTTTTCATTAATTAATACGAGTGCTATAATTTTAAGCATCTGTTATTATATTAATTTTATTGTTGCGTCACGGATACAAATGTGACATTTTATGACATGTCATACGTAATTGCTTTGGTTAGACTTACGACCTCCCTTGGGTTAGTTAGAAATGGTGTTACACAATTATAGTCCGTATTGATATGATGAATCCCCAGTTATATTACACTGTTTTATTACTGCTAGATACATAACTAGGTTGATGCGTCCGTCGTAATTACATTTTGGCTGTAAAAAGCATTTAAAAGATGTGGGTTTTGCTCGCAATTCATTATGATTAAAAAATGGTTTTATTTATATTATTCCGCTAAGCCAACTACAAATTTTTTGAGTTTAAAAATCATATACCTTTTTTAAATTATTTTGTATCTCGAAATTATTTTATGTTTTAACTTATTTTGCTGTACTCGGTAATTGCTTTTCACATAAACAATAATTAAGTAGACTCACCAATTAATTTATAAGGGCAAAACTTACTCTGCGAATTAAGAATTTTAGGTTCTATTCCGTGGCATTTAGGTTGTAAACCGCTTGGTTAGGTGATATAAAAACCAATTCCCACATGAATGATCGGAGTGGGGTCAAAGTTGATGGTAAAAAACTGTGCACAGCAGCTGTTTGGCACATGATGGCGATGGAAAAACGTTTAATAAAACTAGTGCTCGTTCATTTCTTTCGCTCTTATATTTTTTCTGACGACTGAACCAGGAATCAGCTCGTTTAAAGAATTATTTTTATGGATTATCGATCTGTCCCTGTTATTAGTTACGTTTCTTATTACTTTCAATATTAAATATTTTTTTATGATATTTATTAATTATTTCGAATGTAATATTTGATAATAATAATGATTTTGTCTTTGTTCCGGATCTAGAAATTGCAATGGTTCTGAAGTTAAAGAAAAGTTTAAAACAAAGTTAGAAATTTAAGAATGAATTTACTCCGAAAATCGATAATTACGTACCCTAAAATTCAACCCTTAAGCGATAACAGAGTTTACAAAATAAAATAAACTTTTACTTAGTATTTGTGACAGTGGCCGGGAGTTTTTGTTAACTTTGAAATAAAACAGCAAGGGATTCTTTATTAAAGTGATAATAATTTATCAGGCCTATTGTTTTTATCAGGAAAAAGTGGGGTATTAAAATACCGTTCTTTTCCTCAATATTTACTTTCATTTGCTGAGAAAGTCGCAAAGTTTCTCTTTTCATATCGAATACAAAAACGAAGTGAAGGAAGATGAATAAGAATACCTCGATTATTCTGTAAAGAAATTGTAAAACAAGATGACCACATTAAATTAAAATGATTCTCTTCGAGGCGACTATACTTCATAGCGTCCTATTTTCACAACAACTGTTTCCCATTGAATGTGTACATTCGCAACTATCCTCAAACGACTCGAGCGATCTTAATTACTGACATCCGTTCCATGTGATTGGTCCCGCATTGTTTGTATTCTCTGCTAACAGGACAATTGCACATGCACTTAGAATGAGCCTGGTTATTAATACCTACTGTATAACCATCACAGGTCATTGGCTTTTGGAGGGCCAAGCCTGTTATTGGTAGACACTAGTTGTGGTGTGAGAAACAAATGGTTACAATTAATTTGATTAAGGACCTACATTCCGAATTGTTGTTTGTGTTAATTGGCATGCACTTTTCGTTTATGTTGCTTGAATGTCCAGTTTTATTGTTTTTTAGTACATTTTCGGTAACAATCTATACTTTGATATTTAAAATTATATGCTATATTATATGCTTGATGGCATGGCTGGTGTTTTCGAGATGGAAATAGAGAATATTTGCATATATTATGAGACACAACTATACGGGTAATTTGTATCTAAGCAAGTATTAAACATGATTCCTAATTTCTTTTATTTAATTCCCAAACATTGCCGGATGGGTTTGAGAGTCAATGTTTGCACAGCTACATAACACCGTTTTGTAACATTTGTCCAATACCCTAGGTTACCAAATTCACAAAGCCTTAATACATTTTCGTGGAAAAATGCTTCGTCAGTGTAAAAAAAACACACAATGGTTTGAGGGCCGACAATACGTCCCTTCCAGTTGTGAGCTGATCACTCCGCGGTCCTGAAATAACAAATGAATCGAGAAAACCCCACCCCAATGCGCCAGTTTAATGTGATCCCCTCGTCTTCAATGAAAAGCAATCGCCAACTCACCAGATATATCCCATCTCAATTTATGAAGTTATACTAACCCTTGTTTGAGATTATAATACATACGTTATTATATATGCCATTTAAACAAAACTTTAATTAGGATAGTGCTTTGTATAGTTCATTCAACTGTTACAAACGTTAATGCCTTCGATTTCAGATGACATTAAACTTTTGCTTTCTACATCAAGTCGTTGGAACGGTTATTCAGAAAATTTAATTTCCGTAGACTGATCGAACAATTTTGTTCCGATGTGGTGTCTGTAGCGTAATTGGGTCAACCCGACGGACAATGGACTCTAACAATGTTATTATTAGTAGATCTCTTATTCATTCGTTCGAAGGACTTATCAATCATATCTTTTGCGACAACTTCTGAAAGAAGAGTTATTGTCATAGAATACTGAGGAATGGAATGAAAAGACGTAAATTTGTTCCCAACGGAGATTATGAGATTTTCAGTTCGCTAAAATAGCTTTATGGATGTCACAAAGAACACATAAGATCAGTATGCATAATAGAGTTTCAGATTGAAGATTTCTGATCGTGGAAGAAATCCAATCAATAGTTCAATTTACGCAAATCGTTCGGAACGTTCCCACTAAGAGATCTTCGTTAATCTAACCAATAGATTATATTGGCGGGCTAATAAAGGCTGACAGAGATCCGCACCGCTCTCAATTACTTGCTCTGTGATGACTGACACAGAGGTGGCTACGGTTACGTTACTAGACTCGTTTAGGACTGATGAATAGTGAAAGTGTTGGATTAGAATCACAAATGGATCAATGACTTTATTATCCAATAAAGTTATATTTGAATCATAATATTTTATGATTCTTTTTGTTTTCTGTCTTGCCGATGATATAAGATTATTGTCAATAGTCCACTTTTGTTTCCATTGATAGATATACATTATAAAAATAAAAATTCAATTTAAAGTCTGTTTTTAAAATAACATGTAATAAAGTTATTGAAATTTCTAACATATAGTTTTCTTTGTTTATTGTTTGAGCGGACAGCAAAGCAAATATTCGGGAAAAAGCTAAGTATTTCTCAGTTTCATACCAATAACCCCTTACAATGTGAAAAGTTAGTCATACAATGGAGTTATTGTGAATAGAGTAAACAGAGGGCTGGTGGGTGCTCCAGCCTCCTACTCTCTTCCCCCTTACCCATGAATGATCCTACACGTGATCAAAGATCGCACGACCACGCAACGTTTTGTAATACGATCTTTATTATAATAATAAATCGTCCTAAAGTAGGACGCCTTACTGATAACACGAGCTTTAAACTATTATTACTAAACTATGTAATAGTATTATTAATACAGAGACGAAACCTCTTAGCATTCAATGGATTCACCGTGCGGGTGCCGGGTCCATTGCGTTGCAGGGAGAGGAGCCTCAACAGTGCCTGGGACTTGCGACCCAGGTGTAGGTTTAAGGGGCCCCTTAACTAACGCGCGCTATACGCTCACCTCCACTGTCCAAGTTCCTCTCCCTACCTAACCAAATTTGAAAAGAACCTACTAGGGCTGCCTTCGACGTACGTTCTAAGAATGAATTAATGTTAGTTCTGGACAGGCCCAAGTCTTTTAGTAGGTTATAGAGAGATTTAGCTGTTATACCTCTCGCTCCCACCTCTACCGCGTACAAATCAACGACGAACCTATTTCGAGTTAGTTCGTTAGTGAGCTCGTAATACTTATTGACCTTGATGGCATGGTCTTTGGGGATGTTGGTTTCCCAAGGCACCGTAAGCTCTATCATCACAACGCGCTTTAAAATACGCGAATATAGAAATATGTCTGGTCTGGAGGCCGACGCACAAATATCCTCGGGGATTTTGTATTGTTTCTCATACGTATCCATCATGATAGTCCAATCCGAAGCCGCTTTAAGGATAGAGTAAGGCTTGACGTTTGATTTTATAGCCCTGGTGCCCTCTCTCACAAAACCTATTGATCGCTCGTTTGTGGTTATTTCCCTTTGCGCTCTGGCTACCGAAAGACTAACCGCTTCACGTATGATCTCTAAAACCCTATCGTGACGACGCGAGTATTGACCGCTGTCCAGGAGAACCCTACATCCCACCAGCAAATGCTTGGCAGTTCCAACTGCCTTTCCGCAGATATAGCAAGTTTTTTCGGTACCTTTACCCCATCTTACTAAATTACTCTGATCTGGGAGAGTCATCTGGAACGCATTGAGATAAAATTTTAGCAAGGCTGGCGACCAGTCATGAATTAGGGTGCGCCATTTTAGTGCTAGTGGAATGCAAAAATCTCCTATGTCTAACCACTCGTTCTGCATTTCTAAACTCATTGCATGGATTTTGTATTTATCGTTCTCGTCTTGCCGAATAAAAGACTTCAATATATCCGTATCTTGGACTTTCCTACTTGATCCTAACCCTACTCTGTTATTTTGCGCTCCGATCATAAATTGTTTATGGAATTGAAGTCGTGACTCTAGCTCTGGGGCATCATTGTCTTTTGGGAGTGATGTAACGACGTCATCATGGGATTTTCCCAGGATATGTCTCTTGGAAACTCTTAGGTGTTTGTAGAGCTCCGATGGTCTTTTTAGATTCATCCCAAAACTATTACGATCCCTGAATAAAGCCGATGAATCAGCCGTTAGCGCGAGCCCGAGCCACAACTTCAACATCTTTATGACGCCTGCATCTAATTTAGATAAAAGGGTTTTACTAAAATCATAGACGAGGAAAGGCCAATTCAAACGTGAAGTTAAGTAATTATCGTAGATCCATGCTTTTTTTACGTTACTGATCTGCTGGCTATCTACCTTGTTAAGATCATTTAAAAAGCTATCTACTATTCCTTCTAAAGATGGAGTACGACCTATATTATCAATCTTACGACCGAGAAACTTGAATGGTGCATCTTCCGTAACCGTAGAAACGCATTGACCGCCTATCGATAGTCCCGGATCGTATGAGGTGTATCTTGTATTCCGCCTACCAAGACACAAACAGTGACATTTACTTGGTTTTGTCCTCAATCCATCCGTCCACTCACAGAATTTATCCACTTCATCCAATAGTACTTGACAGTGTTTGGGGTGACGTGTCAGTATTGCGAGATCGTCAGCGAAGGCTAAAATGGATTCCGTGTATTTATTATTAAACTTAAACCGATAACCCCATTTTTTCTCGTTACAGATTAATTTGTCTACTAAGATGTTAATTACGATATTAAACGCAATTGGAGATAGACAACAACCTTGAAACAGTCCTACATTATAACTCAAACTTTTTGAAGGGCCTTCTTTAGTTATTATAGAAAACCTTAATTTTGAGTAATACGACGCGATCATATCTCTAACTAGGGGTGGAAAGTTGTACCATCTAAGCGCGAATAGCATCAACTCGTGTTGTATCGACCCGAACGCGTTCTCTAAGTCTATCCAACAAACTGTAATTTGCCGCTCGCTTTTTCTAGCATCTTTCAAACTCTCCGACAGCAAGGTGTTGTGTTCTAGGCATCCAGAAATCCCGGGTAGAAACCCTTTCTGGTGATTTGGCCTAAAATACTTGTTGCTGAGCATGAATCGCGTCATTCTCGTTTGTAGGACCGAGAAAAAGATTTTAGAAATTGTATTTGTTAAGGCTATCGGTCTATTATCCTTCGGATCGGTAACTCGATCTTTTTTGGGAATGAGGACAAAAATTGCTTTCCCGAAACACTCCGGGATTTGCTTCCTTGACCAGATTTTGCCGTATATATTTATGAGGTGTTTACGAACCGATGGACATTTTTTAAAGACTATATATGGGATACCATCGGGGCCCGGTGCAGATTTAGATGATTTCCTCTTTATGTGACTACTTATTTCGTCTAACGTTGGTGGTATGCCGTGAAAATCGATATGAGGAATTTTCGGTTTTTGTTCGTTTGGATCCGTATAGAGCCTTACACTTTTAGGCGCTTCGTATGTGCTCTTGAAATGGTCGTAAATTTGATCGTTGGTCAAGAGAAGCTGTCCGCGTTCTTTCTTAAAAATGGTTTTCGAATACTCAAAAGGGTTTTTATCAAAATCTACTTCCTGTTTGGCCCGGTCAAAATTACCGCGATATTCTGCAGTTTGTGCCGATATTCCTTGAATTAATTTAAGGATTGACCTTAACGCCCTAGCTAGCTGATGACTAAGGTGGTTGTCGCCTAGAGCTTTGGCTATACGTAGATTTTTTATTAATTCCCGTTTTTTCTTCCTCATTTTTATCTTAAACGAATTTTCTTTATTTTGCGAGCGTAATGATTACGTGGTGGATATTGCTCGTTGAAGTAGTCATAAACGGTATTTTGGAAAGTTTCTACCTGCGAGTTCAATTCCTGCTTCGAGCCCGGATGCCCTAACAGGACCGCTAAATTGTCGTCGTGAACTTTCCAAGTCGATTGTTTCATGTTAGGAATGCTAAGACGTGTCCGGATGTTAATGGACTCCTGGTGGTTTCCAGTTAATGGTTCACCATGGGATACGTGAGGGTCAACTCTATCCGAAGTGATAATTGAAGAACTTACCAACGAATGTCGTGCTTCAACACCATTATGTGTTTTTAGGTGTTTAATGTACCAGGCTCGTCTCTTGTAATTTTTCCCGCACGTAGGGCATTTCAAGTCCGTATTCGCGCCGTTTTCGCCGTTTAAATCGACCGGTGGACAGATCTTCCGCCCCCCCTCTCGGACTGTCCCAGGGGTATTTTTCTTTATAGGACTTTTAGCTTAATAAATCCCGGGCTGGGCTTGCTAGGCCGTTGCCCTCGGCTGTCTTTCCAGCAGTCATCCGTCTTTCCGGCAGTCATCCGTCTTTCCGGCAGTCATCCGTCTTTCCGGCAGTCATCTGTCTTTCCAGAGTCAGCCCGACTCTCCGGGCAGTCGTTTTATATGAGACGAAACCTCTTAGCATTCAATGGATTCACCGTGCGGGTGCCGGGTCCATTGCGTTGCAGGGAGAGGAGCCTCAACAGTGCCTGGGACTTGCGACCCAGGTGTAGGTTTAAGGGGCCCCTTAACTAACGCGCGCTATACGCTCACCTCCACTGTCCAAGTTCCTCTCCCTACCTAACCAAATTTGAAAAGAACCTACTAGGGCTGCCTTCGACGTACGTTCTAAGAATGAATTAATGTTAGTTCTGGACAGGCCCAAGTCTTTTAGTAGGTTATAGAGAGATTTAGCTGTTATACCTCTCGCTCCCACCTCTACCGCGTACAAATCAACGACGAACCTATTTCGAGTTAGTTCGTTAGTGAGCTCGTAATACTTATTGACCTTGATGGCATGGTCTTTGGGGATGTTGGTTTCCCAAGGCACCGTAAGCTCTATCATCACAACGCGCTTTAAAATACGCGAATATAGAAATATGTCTGGTCTGGAGGCCGACGCACAAATATCCTCGGGGATTTTGTATTGTTTCTCATACGTATCCATCATGATAGTCCAATCCGAAGCCGCTTTAAGGATAGAGTAAGGCTTGACGTTTGATTTTATAGCCCTGGTGCCCTCTCTCACAAAACCTATTGATCGCTCGTTTGTGGTTATTTCCCTTTGCGCTCTGGCTACCGAAAGACTAACCGCTTCACGTATGATCTCTAAAACCCTATCGTGACGACGCGAGTATTGACCGCTGTCCAGGAGAACCCTACATCCCACCAGCAAATGCTTGGCAGTTCCAACTGCCTTTCCGCAGATATAGCAAGTTTTTTCGGTACCTTTACCCCATCTTACTAAATTACTCTGATCTGGGAGAGTCATCTGGAACGCATTGAGATAAAATTTTAGCAAGGCTGGCGACCAGTCATGAATTAGGGTGCGCCATTTTAGTGCTAGTGGAATGCAAAAATCTCCTATGTCTAACCACTCGTTCTGCATTTCTAAACTCATTGCATGGATTTTGTATTTATCGTTCTCGTCTTGCCGAATAAAAGACTTCAATATATCCGTATCTTGGACTTTCCTACTTGATCCTAACCCTACTCTGTTATTTTGCGCTCCGATCATAAATTGTTTATGGAATTGAAGTCGTGACTCTAGCTCTGGGGCATCATTGTCTTTTGGGAGTGATGTAACGACGTCATCATGGGATTTTCCCAGGATATGTCTCTTGGAAACTCTTAGGTGTTTGTAGAGCTCCGATGGTCTTTTTAGATTCATCCCAAAACTATTACGATCCCTGAATAAAGCCGATGAATCAGCCGTTAGCGCGAGCCCGAGCCACAACTTCAACATCTTTATGACGCCTGCATCTAATTTAGATAAAAGGGTTTTACTAAAATCATAGACGAGGAAAGGCCAATTCAAACGTGAAGTTAAGTAATTATCGTAGATCCATGCTTTTTTTACGTTACTGATCTGCTGGCTATCTACCTTGTTAAGATCATTTAAAAAGCTATCTACTATTCCTTCTAAAGATGGAGTACGACCTATATTATCAATCTTACGACCGAGAAACTTGAATGGTGCATCTTCCGTAACCGTAGAAACGCATTGACCGCCTATCGATAGTCCCGGATCGTATGAGGTGTATCTTGTATTCCGCCTACCAAGACACAAACAGTGACATTTACTTGGTTTTGTCCTCAATCCATCCGTCCACTCACAGAATTTATCCACTTCATCCAATAGTACTTGACAGTGTTTGGGGTGACGTGTCAGTATTGCGAGATCGTCAGCGAAGGCTAAAATGGATTCCGTGTATTTATTATTAAACTTAAACCGATAACCCCATTTTTTCTCGTTACAGATTAATTTGTCTACTAAGATGTTAATTACGATATTAAACGCAATTGGAGATAGACAACAACCTTGAAACAGTCCTACATTATAACTCAAACTTTTTGAAGGGCCTTCTTTAGTTATTATAGAAAACCTTAATTTTGAGTAATACGACGCGATCATATCTCTAACTAGGGGTGGAAAGTTGTACCATCTAAGCGCGAATAGCATCAACTCGTGTTGTATCGACCCGAACGCGTTCTCTAAGTCTATCCAACAAACTGTAATTTGCCGCTCGCTTTTTCTAGCATCTTTCAAACTCTCCGACAGCAAGGTGTTGTGTTCTAGGCATCCAGAAATCCCGGGTAGAAACCCTTTCTGGTGATTTGGCCTAAAATACTTGTTGCTGAGCATGAATCGCGTCATTCTCGTTTGTAGGACCGAGAAAAAGATTTTAGAAATTGTATTTGTTAAGGCTATCGGTCTAGTATCCTTCGGATCGGTAACTCGATCTTTTTTGGGAATGAGGACAAAAATTGCTTTCCCGAAACACTCCGGGATTTGCTTCCTTGACCAGATTTTGCCGTATATATTTATGAGGTGTTTACGAACCGATGGACATTTTTTAAAGACTATATATGGGATACCATCGGGGCCCGGTGCAGATTTAGATGATTTCCTCTTTATGTGACTACTTATTTCGTCTAACGTTGGTGGTATGCCGTGAAAATCGATATGAGGAATTTTCGGTTTTTGTTCGTTTGGATCCGTATAGAGCCTTACACTTTTAGGCGCTTCGTATGTGCTCTTGAAATGGTCGTAAATTTGATCGTTGGTCAAGAGAAGCTGTCCGCGTTCTTTCTTAAAAATGGTTTTCGAATACTCAAAAGGGTTTTTATCAAAATCTACTTCCTGTTTGGCCCGGTCAAAATTACCGCGATATTCTGCAGTTTGTGCCGATATTCCTTGAATTAATTTAAGGATTGACCTTAACGCCCTAGCTAGCTGATGACTAAGGTGGTTGTCGCCTAGAGCTTTGGCTATACGTAGATTTTTTATTAATTCCCGTTTTTTCTTCCTCATTTTTATCTTAAACGAATTTTCTTTATTTTTGCGAGCGTAATGATTACGTGGTGGATATTGCTCGTTGAAGTAGTCATAAACGGTATTTTGGAAAGTTTCTACCTGCGAGTTCAATTCCTGCTTCGAGCCCGGATGCCCTAACAGGACCGCTAAATTGTCGTCGTGAACTTTCCAAGTCGATTGTTTCATGTTAGGAATGCTAAGACGTGTCCGGATGTTAATGGACTCCTGGTGGTTTCCAGTTAATGGTTCACCATGGGATACGTGAGGGTCAACTCTATCCGAAGTGATAATTGAAGAACTTACCAACGAATGTCGTGCTTCAACACCATTATGTGTTTTTAGGTGTTTAATGTACCAGGCTCGTCTCTTGTAATTTTTCCCGCACGTAGGGCATTTCAAGTCCGTATTCGCGCCGTTTTCGCCGTATTTTTAAGGTATTTTTAAGAATACGTCGAATATATTACATGAATACTAACAATAGTTTATATATTTATAATTTTAGTTTAATCACTGCATTTAGTTTATTATAGTATTTGCCGTAAAACACTTAATTTAGTTTCTTATACGTGTATGTATCTGTATATACAAACATATAAATTTATTAAAAAGCATATCCGGTCGACTTGCGTGACACAAATACCTAGCGTGTGTTTTCAACGCATTCTTGGTACAGCCGGTTTACAAATATCCGGCATAGCCTGGCGGTTTTGCTTTTTAAATTTTTGTGCTTCCAGAAAGTACACAACATAAGCGGATCATAGGATTTCGCATAAGAAAATGAGAGGTTTAACGTCTTAAGTTGTTTGGAGCGTTTCGGAGATACATCTTAATCTGTCAATGCGATCTTTAATGCGTTTGTATATTTAATCTGCATTTGATGGTAACAACTTATATTTGCATATTTAGGAGAGGGATTAATTCAAAATGTACATTTGATTATTTGTAAAATGTTGAAATCTTTTAACGCGTATTTAATACACTTCTACGTTTTTTGTACAATATCAACGGTGTTTTGTGAAAGGGATCACTCGATAAATTGGAGAAAGAAATTCCTTTACAAAATATCTAACCGTTTCGTCAAATTATGAACAATAGATGCGTATAGATTTCAGTTGCTGGACGTTTTTGAAGTTCACCAAACAATCAATTTGAAGATAGATTTGTGGGGTATAGAAAACATTCAATGTATTGTCACTGTAAAAGGTCCGAACGTCCAGGGTCCATGTTTGAAGTATTAATTCTTCTAAAACTTAATAAATTAAAAACAGTCCAATCTAATAGATTTAATATAAAATACATCTAGATAAGTTAATGTCGAGCTTGTTATGAAATATCGCAACTTCGTGGCGGCTAGCCGCGTTCCAGATACTGACTCATAGATTCATGCTTCGATGCTCCCCTTCCGAAAATATTCAAACTTTAATTTTGTTTTTTGTATTCTTTAATTTTTTTTAATATATAAATGGCATGAATTCTAATTTTAAGGCCACTTAACCATGCGAATGAGTTGTTTTATTATTGTCTTTTGTAATATGTATGTTTGCGGATAATATAACGTTAATATGATTATAAAATATTGTAATTGAAAATAAATAAAATATAGACTATAGGATAACAAATTCTACAATTAATAATAACAAATTCGGGTAGAAACAAAGTATTAATTTACTTAGAACAAAAACAAGCGAGACTTTAACAGAACCTCAATATTATCTTGAAGGAAGTTGCTAGCTAAGCTGGTTCGAGATATAAAATATTTGTGTTAAAAAGTTCTGCGCCCTTAGAACAAGTCTTCACGGCTGAATGCACTTAACGTTAGCTTTCGCCCGCATATATTCAACATGTAATCCTGTTTATTTTCCTGTATGCCAGTATTTTTCTTTTGACCTTCTGTTATTGTCGTCTAAATAGGTTTTACACAAATGGACTGACTGTCTTATTTTTTTCTTTAATAAAATGCACCAAAAGGTCGCGTGCTAGCATTTTGAATATTCTTGTAGAGAAAAAGAATTGTAATGTCAAGTCACCTTCTGAGGAGGAGGAATGTGATGTAAATGTATGTAAAATGAGTTTTTTACATATAGGGTAATGTTTTATATCATAGTTCTATATTTGAATATAAGATTTATTTTGTATGATGAATTGAACCTAAATACCTAAATTATTCACATATGTACCTTGTATTGTCTTAAAGACAAAATTCTGTTTATGTGGTAGATAAAAGTTTGTTCTTTAATAAAATTTTGTATGTAAACTGAAAATTTATAGGCAGTTTGTTGACGCGGTGTTAATATTTCTATTAATAAACATGTGAAATATAAGCGGACGTGAAGATAGTATTCAGATTTTTTTATATGAATGTTAAGAAGTCGCATCTTTATTCAAAGTCCATTCGGTGCAGGATGCAAATCCGGATAGAAGATAGGATGTTGAGAAAAAAGTCACGCTCCGGTAGTAAAAACTAACGTAGCTCACTGATTTGCCGTTTGTTATGAATTCTATTTGTTTCATGGCATTTATTATACGGACGAGTTAATACTATCATTATAATTAAATCAGTATGAACATTTTACATGTTTATTTTAAAGTTCAGCATTGTTTATAATGTTTTAGTGATACTAAAATAAAATTTTGAATCGTATTCATTATATCTTACAAACAACTCGGTCTGTAAACAATATAAATTCTTTATTTTACTTAATATCAATTTGTACTCATTAATTGGCACCTAGTATTCCGTAATCACTAAGAGTAATTGAAAAGCTGCACTTTTAAAATGATTGGAAGTTCGAGCTACAATTTAATTTTTTTTTGAGACTTCAAGGAACTTATCTGGAGTACGGGTCACCGACAAAGAGGACGAGTATTACGTGACTCTGTGAAAGAATGCCTTATAAATCTCTTGGTAGGTACCAGTTAGAGCAATTGAAAAAATCAGTGAAGTAATAAATTCCCAGCAATCTTCCAATAGGTCCACTGTGCAATGTAAGATACGCAATATTAAAGTTTAAAAACAAAAAAAATTTAAATGCCGTTAAAGCACCTCCTTTTACGGATTTCTCTTTGGAGATTTATTGCATGTGTTATAGTTTAAGTATTCGATAAATGTGATGACGTAAATAAATAATTTATATGTATAATAAGTAAAAAACAAACGATTCCAAAGAGCAACAAAGAAACAAAAGTAAAAAAATATTTTACACTTTAGTACTATTTCGTAACCTATCTTGTGTAATTTTAATTGTTTAATGTAGGCATAAAAATTGACTGAACACCTGATTTATATGAACAAATACTATTTTTAATTACTATACAATAATCTAATAAACATTGTTTTGACATCTAATCACTTTTTGAAGTTGGTGCCTAAGTTTACAGCTAGCTAGTTTCTTAGTAATATAAATAGAATAATTGTATTTTAATATCACTGATGATATATTTTGTGTTTTACTTGTGTTAAGAATAAATGAAAGTTTTAGTTTCATACCAATTACTTATTATTATTTACATAATTTAACTGTCGAGTTAGATAATAATAAGAATGGTTTAATTTAGATTTAGGTTACTTTTAGGTCGTTCTAATGTAGTTTTCTAGTGTTTAGTTTCTTAGTCTGTAGATGGCATTGTCACTTATTTCTCTCAAAAAAATCAGCTGAAGAACGCGAGTGTCGATTGTCTTTGGTCCTATACCGATCGGTCCAAGTTCTTGACAATGGAACACAGGAAGAGAGAATGATTCAACTTAATAATATGCATTCCCGCGATAAAAGTTTGGAAGATGTTGAATCACCAACAATTTTTCGGTTTCCCTCATTTTTTTGATTTCCCTAAATTTTTAAAGGATCCTATTATAGGATCCTGACTTGGTGACTATAGGACAACCTGGGGTGTATCTTTAATATAAAAAACGGATATCTTAAATCGCTTCAAGAGCATTTGGGAAATCGGGACACATACAAAAAAAAGATTGTTAAGAATTAAGAACCTCCTCTTTTGAAGTCGGTTATAAAAAATCATAAACAGTTTTGTTGTTTAAATTTTCTTACTTATTTTTTTTATTTGATTTATAATTTTTGTTACTCATTTGTAAATTTTATTAAAAATCTTTATAAACGTTTAACAATATACGACTTTTAAAAGAAAAATAGTTTTAATTGTAATTTTTAATATATCTGTTATATAATCGCAGATAAAAGAAAATGATTCTATAATAGAATAAAAAATAAGAGAATAGGCATAATGTTTTTTAAAAAAAGGAAGAGGGGAAAGATTATCAAGGAAAATAAAAATTCGATTAAAAGCACGAATTGATATCGTTAACGATAAAATTTTACGCAATACCGAGACGTTTCTCGCTATCGGAAACTTGACAGTGACTGATCGCTGGCTAGTGACGCCTCCCCCCTCCCCCCTCTACACGAGCCACCCCCCACCACAGCCACTCTTTAGGGAAATTTCTTAAATGTGCCGAATTAACTGCCCTATTGGGATTTCATATTAGGCTAGCAACGTGGAAATTTACAAATAACCAAATAAGCATAAGCCCTACATTTTGAACGGGACAAATTTCTTTTCATTGTTAGTAAATCATTTTATTGTTTTCTATGTAACGTTTATCAAATGTAATATGATTTGTGATATAAATTTAAATGATATGAAGTTGAACTCTTTGGAGTACTCCAGTGGTTGCTACCTAAGCCTTACTTGGGGGCTCTCGACGCCACTTGACGGCGTTCAGTAAAAGAGTTCTCTATTCTACGCTTGAATATTGTTCTCGTATTTACATTCGGAATTGTTTCCAATTGTTTAACATTTTTTACCCCCATTCAGAATTGCCGTCTCGTTCATTGTTCGTCGTTAACATCAAAATCGTAATTTGAATATTCATAAAGAAAAGAGGGTCTTAACGCGAAATCCACCGAAAAGAAAAGGTTTAGTTTGTAAAGCGGAGTGCGTTAGAAGTATGCAAATCTATACAAAAGTTTTTAATATCATTTAAATTGCTTCAGTTAAAATAATATTCGAACATATATGTGTAAACAATTGAAATAGGAAAATTTACTACACTAATACTAGATTGTAAAAGTTAGTTGTCTGATCGCTTTTTATAAATATGATTGACGTAAAGAAGTGATAGTTACGATAATTATACAGTCAAATTGATTATATGGTACGTATACCTTGAGAGTAGCTGTAGGTATACAATTTTCAAGTTTAATCTGTATCATTAAAAATAGGTTTAAGATATCCTATGTTATAATAAAGATAAATGTTAATTCTTCTTTTCTATGACTTTGTTTGAACCATTTACAACATTCCAAACGCATTTATTTCAACTTATTACAAAGATTCCTGTATATTTGAAACCCAGTGTAAAATATATCTATTTCTTAAAGTAA